TTTTTTTGTTGAAATAACTGTTTCTTCTTAGTTTTTTCTTATCAGATTTGTATATTAGGGTTGTGTGTTACACCTAATGTTGTTAAATGAAAAACCGTAAAACCTAGAATATTGCTACTGTATTTTTTACGGTACAATTCCGGCAACCACAGCTGCCGGTTTTTTACCGTAAATTTTACGGAATTTCTTTTACAGTAAAGGACAGAAAATTTATAGCTCAGTCCTTGCACTTACCAACCCTGAACTTGAACCGCTACACCACTGGCTGCTGACTAGAATCTAAATCCAAATCTAATGCATTTGGAAAGTGGGTAGTAGTGCACTTACTAAAAAGCATTTTTAAAATGAGTGAATTTTATCCAATAAATCCAATAAAAATCATAGAGAAAGTCATATAGTCATCAATTCATATAGGAAAAAATATATAGTTTATATACACATAACAGAGATGTGTGTATTTGTTAATATGTATGTCTCTTTAATATATTTTAGTAACTTATTTTTCCAGAATTTTTTTTTTATATATTCAAAACACATACAACCAAATACATTCTCCTAATATATTTTCTGCTTGGCCACCATCAGCTCGAGAGAGAGAATGGTTTATATAGTCATTCATTCCTCAATGTATGGAAAAAATATAGTTTATATACATAATAGAGATGTATGTGTTTTGAATATATTTTAGTAACTTATTTTTCCTGAAATATTTTCTTATATTTGAAAACATATATAAAAAGTCCAATGTATGGAGAGAAAAAAAAGTTTATATACGGAACAGAGATATAAATAAAATATAAAAATAATAATAAATCTTAGGCAAGAAAGAAGCCTTTAAAACAAACATAAATAAAAATAGGAAGCCCTAACAGTCCTGTATGTGTCAGATGAACAAATAAGAAAACAACAAGTGCACCTACACAACCTACACACCAACTGGACAGTGAAAACACTATATATACACCACAGCCTCTGTGCCAAGCTCATATGACTCGACTTTACAAATGCTGTTTTCAATATTCAACTAAACAGAAGAAACAATTATACAGCAGACAATATACACTACAGCTCAAATTTGTATTAATTTTATTCTGCAAAGATGCATTCAATTGATCAAAAGTGACGGTAACGATTTTTACATGGTTACAGAAAATTCTCAAATCAAAGCTGTTCTTTTGAACTTTCGATTCATTAAAGAATCCTGAAAAATAAAATGTATCATAGTTTCCACAAAAATATGAAGCAGCACAACTGTTTCCAGCACTGATCAAATTAAGCAGCAAAGCAGCATATTAGAATGATTTCTGAAGATCATGTGACACTGAAGACTGAAGTAATGATGCTGAAAATTCAGCTTTGATCACAGCAATAAATTACATTTTACAAAATAGAAAGCAGCTATTTAAAGTTGTAATAATATTTCATAATTTTGCTGTTTTTACTGTATTTTTGATCAAATAGTGCAGCCTTGGTGAGCTTAAGAGACTTCTTTTAAAAACATTTAAAAATGCAAGCATCATATTATTCTTTACCTCAATGATTTGATAGTAGCCTAATGATAACACCTAGTTAATGATTTGAACAAACTCCTAAACCTAAGTATTCATCTTAACCCACTTATATTAAAGAAACAACATGACGCTAGCAACAGAATAACAATATGCCAAGAACAGCTAAGAACACCTTAGCAACCGCATAGTATCACCCTGGCAACCACACACAACAGCTTATAAGGTGCACAGGCAAGCAACACATTTGATCCATTCTCTATTTATTTACTAATTGCCCTTTTGGCATGTTTTCTTCAAACAGTGGATGTACGTACAGTAGATAAACTATGAATAGCATACAGGCTGTCATTGCTTCTCTTATCTGACACACTCAGTTCAGTTCACAGACACATGATGAGTTGATTCAGCTGTTTAATAAGAAAGGCATGAGATAACATTAAGAGACAGTGAGTGCAGCACCTCACACAGCTGTACCAATGCCACCCTCCTGTGGTCAAACAGCAGTAGGACAAGAGCCAAAGACAGATGAAGTCGAGATCTGAGCACACTTTCCAAGGCATTTTGAAAGACAGTCTTAACCAAAGATGAGATTTATGGCCAAGTTTAGTTTAAACTGTCTTTATTTCAATCCTTTCCTATGAAACCTAGAAATTATGTGCAAAGCACTGTATGTAAAGTACAGGTTAACTATAAGTTATTTACTCACCCTCATGTTCTTCCAAACCTTTATGCAATTATATTTTTCTGTGCCACACAAAAGTTTAATTTTGAAAATAATTTTAGCATCTCTTTTTTTTTAACAATGAGAGTTGTAAAGTATTCATTATTCATTTAATGACCAGTGTTGTTATTGAAGCTAAAACTATTAAACACATTTTCAGAAACCGAAATAAAGCTGAAATAAAACAAAATATAAATATTAGATATAAAACTGCACATTTAAAATGTAAATATAAGTTTAAAAAACTTAAATGAAAACTTTATTGAAAATATTGCCTTGCAAATTAATAAATCAAGTTTAAGTTGCAGTACTAAAAGTACTAAAACTAAAATTGAAATAAAAATAAATTAAAGCTAAATAGAAAAACAAATAAAACACTAAACTAAAACTAATAAAATGGCAAAAGTACAAATTTACTCAAATTTAAACTAAAATAAAATAAAAAATATAATATAAATAACATTTAAATTAATATGAAAAATGAAAATATAAAAATAATAGCTAAATTAAATATGAAAAATTAAAATATAAAAATTTAAACTAAATTAAAACTACAACTATGACAAGAGTAACAAAATTACTAAAATAGAAACTAAAATAAAATAAAAATATAATATAAAGTCATATTTAAATTAATATGAAAAATGAAAATAAAAAAGCTAAACTAAAACTAACATGTAAACTAAAATGTAAACAAAAACTGAAAATAAATATAAGAATTCAAAATTCAAAGTATATATACTATAATATAAATAATACTGAAATACCACTGGACCATTACAGAAAATTATTCTATTTTTTTTATTATTACTAAAACTAAAAGTAAAATAAAACTAAATTAAAGTTAAAAGGAAAAATGGCAAAAGTAATAAAATTACTAAAATTTTAACTAAACTAAAAAATATAATATACAATCTAATTTAAATTAAATTAAAATAAAAACTGAAAATATAAAAATAAAGGCTAATTCAAAATAATAAAATAACACTGAAATACCACTGGACTGTTACAGAAAACGTTGCTCTTCACAAAAGTTCTCAAATTTAATTTGCATTTTTAATTAGCAAAAAATAAAATAAAATAAAATACAAGTTTAAAGAAATAGACGTCCAGCCTAAGAAGGCCCTTTACAGCAACAATGCTGAATGTATAACTTTGATTTCTGGAAATCATATTTCCATTTATCTAACACCATCCATCAGCACACACATCTGCGCTGTGACTTAATACAATAATTTATCATTTGAGGGATGCCCTCCACTCTCTCACTATCTGATGGCACTGCTAATGTAATTAAAGTGAGATTATCATGTCTGCGTGGCACTCCAGATGGCACCGCTCAAAACGCTTGTAGATCAGTGGCCAGTGCTGACAGGGCATTTATGTATTCAGCTAACAAACATCCAACATGAGCTGATGTGTTCTCAAGCTTCACTTCAAATTTAAGATGACAAATTAGGCTGTGCATGCATGCAAATTACAATCCTCAAATATTAATATTGATTAAACCTCAGTATGTGGTTAAAAAATGAAATCAATCGACATATACTGCTAGTAAAGCTTTGGGCTCTGTTTACCTGGTAATCCTTCTTAAGAATGAACTGTGGGCTTCATTACACCAATCTCATTAGTTCTCTGCGAGATCTGGGGCAACAGAGATCAGAGCTTTCACTGTTTGTCCTCTATGGGAAAAACATTCTCTGTCAATGAGATTTTATCTGAGACCCACCATCATTGTGTTGCTGCAAAACACAATCACAATCTCTCTCTTTCACACTCAAACACGCCTACAGGGTTTTACCTGTGCACTGCAGATAATCTTTGATAAACAGCAAAATATTACCTATTACCTTATACCATATATCATTAAAATAGTATCTGTTAATACTGAAGATCTGACATAAGAAAATTATTTATAATAGTATTATTCAGAATATAACTTTTGGGCAGTTGCTCATATTAAAACAACAACATATACTGTATATTCAATGGCAAAATCATTTTGTCATGCATAAAGACACAATTTATACTGTGAACATTTATTTTTATGTAAAATATTATCTGGAAAATATCAGATGTATTATTTATTTATGTAATGTGTTTTATTATTTGTGGAAATCTATTTTATATTATTTATTTATTTGTTTATTTTTAAGCATTTTATTTATTTATTAGAATTAGATTTTTTTTAATATTTATTTATTTTTACACTGTTTTTCTCTAAACTTTTCCATGGGCCTCCTAGCACTCCTTTGCCGACCCCTGTTTAAAAACCACTTCCATATAGATCAAATACAGTATCATAATATCAATAATCTGATATCATGACTGTACTGTATAACCAGGTTACTTTAACTAAGGCCTGTTGACATTAAATTAATTTTTAAACATGAAATGAATCAGCATGCATTGGCCTACCTTTTAATTCTTGAATACTCAAGATTGAATCTAACCTGGATTATTTTGCATTACAGCAATAGTATTATTCGTGGTTCGAGTGTGTAATTATTGGCCTTTTATTCAGAATATAAAACAGATATTAAATGGCAATCACAGTTAATCACAACTACATCAGCAACAAAACCACAGAAAACACACACACACACACACACCCACCCCTACCTCCTTCCCCTCTCAGTTTCAGTCACTGGTTAGAAATGGCAGCTGCTGAGGACCCCTAAACCACTCGGGCAAATTAAGGAGAAATGCGTCGTTTAAAATGGATTAACTCATTAACGGGAATGTCAACAGTCCAGTCGTGAGCTGTTACGACAGACAGAAGAGGAACCAGTGGTGTATATCTTTCCAAACCGCAGCGTCTGTCTGTCTATCTGTGTGAAGTGTATTTTTTGGGGTAAGAGAGACGTCGATTAGCATTAGCACTGTTAGCTTCGCTGCTGCTTTCGCCTGCCGCTGCCGAGCTTTCGCGCTCTTCCCGCCGCATTCCCTCCCGCTCCGCCCCGCTGCGCTCTCACGCGCTGCCGAGGCTCCTGCGGCCTACCGATACGCCTGCTGCTACCGCTGTGTGCTGCGGGTCATGAAAAGCTGCTTTTGTCCGAAAAGGAAGGACGCAGTGCATTTTACAGTTAAGTCAATGTGGCGTTTAATGGTTGAAATGCTTTTTGCACAGATTTCGAGAAGAATAAGGAATATTGACGACAAGTGGGTTAGCTTGTTAGCTCGGCTAGGCTAAGTATAGAATCTCTATGGAGTCTCCTAGCAACCTGCCGGATAATGCTAATGGCTAAAATTGGGCTTCAGCCAAATGATAAAACGCGCTATTATGCGAATATTATTTATTCATATCATTGACTCAAGATATTATAACAACATCAAGATGTTTAAAGAGTTGTGAATCGTTCAGCAGGGTAATACATGTTGGGTAACGTTAGTTAATGTTATTGTGAAGAACTGCTTTATGAAATATTACATGTTTGCTTTTGTATCTCGCATAATTTAAACAAATAATTTTAAGATTATGGCGTATAAGAGTATTATTATGGTGATGCATATTCATTTATTATAGAGAGCATTGCTTTTCTACATGGGACAATATCTAATCTGTATGGTAATTAAATTTATTACATTTAGTATCAGATTTATGTGTGCATTCAGATTCAGATGTTTGATATACGTGTTATGCAGCTTCTGTTCAATTCATTCAATTCACAGAAAGCAAGTGCGTGTGTAAACAGAGGCAATGCTGTAAGAAATTAAAGCTGTCTTATGATTTGGCTCTTTGAAAACGGTGAAATTGGATTTTTTTTTCCAGATCAGATGAACACTAAGATGCCTAATGAATTTGATAAGGCAAGACCTGAAACTGTGTCATTTTGTTATCAAATACTCAACACCTTATTACAGTCAGAGTCTCTACTGAATGCTGCTGTTGTTTGTGAGATGTTTAGAGCCGTTATGGGGCCAAGAGCTTCTTCGTATTTGTACCACAACTGTGGATGTATATATTTATTTGCATATATATATATTTATTTATGGCCTGAATTTATTCAAAATTTGTGTCACTTTTGTTGACTTATTTCATTTTCAGTAGCACCTGAGCTGTTTTGATTTTAAGTCTCAAAAATGAAAGTAACCTAAAGTTGTCGTAATGTTAGAACCAGTGCTAAAGCATTTGATTCATTTCTCATGACGGTGCTTGCTTCAACCGCCTGTGCAAACAAACATGTTTTCTTAGGTGGCGTAAACTTGAACAAGCAATGGAACTAACACACGCAGGGCATTTTTTCCATTGGTGCAGTTGGGACAGTAGATCAGATTTTCACTTGCCCTGTAAATGTTTTTGTTGGCCCTGAATCAAATGTTTTTGTCAACATATTTTTAACATTTACATTTAGGTGCTGCTTTGTTCCAAAGCGACTTACAAAAGAGTGACAAAAGTAATTTGTCAAAGAGCCAACAATATTTGTCATATACAGTGCCAGGTTAATTTGACAACTAGATTAGGAATAACTGATAAAAAGTAAATGACTCAAAAAATTACATTTACAAATATATATATATATTTTTTCCCTCAAATTCTGTTTGATTTTTTCCCAAATTCTGTTTTTGTGTTTTGTTTTTCTATATTCTGTATTAATTTAAGGGGTGCACGATATTAGATTTATAGATTTATTAGATTTGATATCCGATATGCCGATATTTTTCAAATCATTTTGGCTGATATAGCTGATACCTATATATCCTTTTGTTTTGAAACAACACCAAGTCTCTCCTGTGCAGAAATTATAGACACATTAGTTTTAATTTTGGTTAGTTTTGAGCAAAAACTTATTTGTTAAAACTAATAAACATTATTAAAGTTATTTTTTTAATGAAAGTACATTTAATAGTGTTTTATAATAATACTGTTTTTTTTTCCTCAGACAGATGCAGTTGAAACTTAAAATTTTATTTGTGGATTTAACATTAACAAAAGGGCAAAAGAGCTGTAAAAATTCAAAAAATCTTATAGAGCTCCTTGTATTTGAGTTTTCATAATCCATTTGGAAAAAAAACATATTACATATTAATGAATAAATGTGTATATATTAAATTATTTAATTTACAAGTATGTTTGTGATTTTTATTCATAAAGCTATAGCTTCTGACTAGGGTTGTGACGGTGAGGAAATTTTCCCACCGGTTAATCGGCGACTGAAACACAAGTATCCTAATGTTATTTGCATTTATCGGCTGATTTCGATAACTTTCCGATAATGTGCATCCCTAATTAATTTTTTCCAAATTCTGTTTTATTTTATTCCAAATTCCGTGTTTCCCCCGTGTTAATTTTTCTGGATTCCGTTTTAATGATTTCAAAAAATGAGGTATGTCTAATCAATTGAATTCACTAAACTATAACAGCTTAATAATTTATTAAATTTTTCTACAATAATAGGGCCCTATAACATTTTTTATTTTTTATTTTTTAGGAATTCTGTGTTGTTTTATTTTTTCTGGGCTTATGATTTAATACAAATTTATTATAAAAAACGGTGGTAATCAAATTAAGACATAAAACATTAAATATTTTATAAATCTTTTAAAATCAAATGAAAATTAAACAATTCCTTTTATTTTTTTGGCAAACAAAGTGCTGCACAACAGGGATTTACTGTTACAGTTAACGGTGATTAAGAAAAATTATGCCATTCATTTACCTAGAGACATGCAGATTTCATATCTAAATTGTATTTTTAAGTTTTAATTAGTGATCGACCGATATTGATATTTTATTACCGATACCAATTATTTGCATGCTTATGTGCCCGATAACCGATATGCAGACCCGATATTTATTTACTGTTATAAAGTAAATAAATGACTGAGTGAAGTAGGAACATACTTCACTTTGGTTTTTCCTCTTTTCAGTCATCTTTTTTTTTAAGTGTTGAAAATTAGCAGTCTTTCATGTTAAATTTAAGGGAAAAATATCGGTAAATCGATATATCGGTCGATCTCTAGTTTTAATTTTCACGGGCACTAGTCTATATCTCTTTGATTAATTGTACATCCCTACTTTTTTTATGTATTTATCCAAAATTCCAAATCCGGTGACTTTCCGCATTATACAGTAAATTCCATTTTTATGGCTAGATTCAATTCCGTCCACGTTTTCTGCATTGTGGATATCATAGGCCCCTAAATATGCACATCTGCAGACTGAATTGATAGCATAAATGCGGCAGTGCTCCAGTTGGGCGAGTGAAGCATCTGTGAACTTGCCCAAACTTCTCTCACCCTGGCTCTGGGCCATCCTTATGGTTGAGCCCTGAAATATCTAACAGACAGTGCCAGCGTCTGTGCCATCCGAGGCTGCTGCTCTGTCCTCCTGGCAGATGAGTGATATGAAAGCAGATCTACTCCTGATGTCCGAAAGGGCATCTCAGAGCCTGTCCTGCTCATGTTTCTGGAAGGATGCATCCCTTCTTTATGATAATTGCTTTGGTGTGCATTATGTGAGCATATGAAGATTCTTCATATTTACTGGTTAAGTCAGCCCTCTACGAACACCTTGGCAATTGAATCGCCATTGGCTAGTACATTTTTTTGTTTACTCGCCAGACTGATAAATATATACATACACATATTCATATATACACACACACACATACACACACACACACACACACATACACACACATACACATATACACACACACATATACATACACACATATACACACAAACATATACACACACATATACACATACAGTGGGTACGGAAAGTATTCAGACCCCCTTAAATTTTTCACTCTTTGTTATATTGCAGCCATTTGCTAA